ATCTTAATTCTCCTCCCCACTTAGACAGCTCGATAAAGATCCCCACATACATTTTTCATGTATGCTTAATCCTCCCATGATTATTACAACTAAGTAATAAGAAAAAGAAAGGTAATTGGGTGTGCCCAGAAATGTGCAGGTGTTAGAATGCTATTCCTCACAAGAATGGTATTACTTGCAACTAATAATCAGTAAAGAAAATGAAAATAAAATCTGACATATTCACAGTAAAACCAACATTAACATTTTCTGGGCAAAACAGATCCTTTCCAAACATCACTAAAAAACCAATGCCTAAAAACAAAACAAAACAATAAGAGTAATTATTGACAATATCCATAAAAACACACAACCAAAAAAAAACCCCAATGCCTATCTCCCGCTAAGGAGCTCCAAAGTTGTCCCGACATCCATCAGATGATGATCAAGATAAACATTAAGAACCCTTTCGTGTGGGGAGAAATTCAACTATTAACTCACAATTCATTGTTAACACCAAACACTTGGAGACATTCACGGGTAGCCAGGGCACTGAGTTCCAAAAAGGAAGCGTGTGCGTGCGTGCATGCGTGCGTGTGTGTTATCAATGCCCCCAACTCCGCCGCATCTCAAGATTATTCCCAGTGCTCTTGTTGAGCATTACTATATCCAGAAAGTCCCTATTACACTCCAGTCTATGTCATAGGCACAGTTTTGAGCAAGGTATTGCCAACAGCAGGGATGATGGTGACAGCTCAGTTCAATCCTCCTTCCTGCAGGACAACTGTGCCTTCACCTCACCGCAGCATGCCAGTGTCTGTTCCCAGCATTTATTTAGCCTTATGTCCTGGACCATGCCCTCTCCAGTCATCTCCAACCTGTATCCTTCACTGAATGGAGATTCCCTCACCTGCTATGTAACTGGATGGTGCTGGGGCTGAAGTACCAATAGCTTGTTCCTGCTCTCCTTTCGTCTTTTAGGGAATGCCATCATTTCTAGCCTGAGAATTGGATGTTCAGGTAATTAGGAGTGGCACAAGAAAAACTGCTTGCTACCCCCCCCCACGTTAAAAACAGAAAGAAAAAAGAAAACTCATCAACCAAACCAACCCCCCCCCAAATTTACACTAGTCAAAGTGACAGGAAGGCAGTAAAAAATGCCTGAAACCCTAGTAAAAGTAGTAGACAGGAAACAAGGGCTGTAGGTTGAGACTTTATAGAAACGGAATTTCCTCCTCCATTCATGACTGACCACCACGAACCTGTCATGCAACCTTGGGTGGAGATGCAATGCACATGCGACACCCTCCAATCACGGTTCCTTACTAGGGTAGGTTAGAAGGCATTGCTGCAAAATCATAGGAACCTTTATTAAAAAGAGCTATGACAATGGGAAGCTATTGTTTCTCAACATGTCTTCACTTCCAAAGATGGTTTTTCATCCCTCTCTAACTCTTACCCAATGATTTACACCATGTCTAATTCTGCAATCTGAAGGGATGCAAATCATGTTCTTTTTCAATGTTGTTAGGTTTGGGGGAACAAACAGCGTCTGAAGGGACAATATTATGTCTATAGGTTGGCTGGGATAAAGTCTCTAAATGAAATTTCTCATAGGAGAGCCAACAGTACACCCACTAAGACTGAGTAGATGAATTGTCATGATGGGGTGGAAAATTGCTTAGCACAACTTTCCTGGCCTTTAACTCAGCAAAGCAGTTTTCCATTTTCATGAGACTTCTTCCTAATAAGCCCTGTGATTCTCCAGTATCCTTTGAGAGAAGATATTATCAAGATTACTACTTTGGAGTAACCCAAAATGGTCATCCTAACCTTTTGAGCTGGCTTATCTCCTATAAATTTAACTTGCCCTGCACATCCCCTTGGTATCCATTGCTTTTTTTTTGGGGGGGGACCCAAAATTAAATTCAAAAAACAAAATATCGAACTTACTGCCATAGAGTTGATTCTGGCATCCTACAACCGTGCATGACTGAGGGAATTGGCCTGCAGCCATCCACTGATGACAGAGACATGTTTACACAGGCTGTGTTTGGAATAAACCTCCCCATGTATGCACTTAGACCTGAAGAAGTTATTATTTTGGACTTACCTCCATATATATTTCCAAGAAGGAACTGGCTTAAGAACCAAAGGCACATGATTCATTGAAAGTGGAAAAATATCAAAGTTATTCCATGTAAACAATAGGTAAAATAGAAATGGAATTACTGTACTTATATCAGAAAATTTAAACTGTATGATAAAAAATTGGTAAAACAAACAGATATCATATGATAAAAGGGTCAATTGATCACAAACACATAAAAATAATCCATTGCTGAGGGCAATATAAAATGGTGCACCTACGGTGTACACCAGTTTTGAGGATCCTCAAGACGTTAAATACAGGATTTGCACATGACCCAGGAATCCTGCAATGGGGTACAGGACCAAAGTAGAAACAACTGTTCAAAGCCATGTTCAAAGCAGCACAAATCATAATATTCCCAAATTGGAAACCACTTAAGTCTCCATGAGAGTAGCCCTGATGACACAGTGATTACATGTTGGATAACTAACTGTAAGGTCCGAAGTTCAAAACCACCAGCTGATCCTGTGTGCTATAGGGATAGCAGTGAGTTTTGAATAAGTATTCATCGGGTAATAAGTGGATACACAAAATGTGGAATAGCCCTAGAATGGAGCATTCTTTCCTAAGAAATAAATGCTGAGACATGCTACAGCATGTCTCCAACTTGAAAAGACTGCTAAATGCAATACGAAAAATACACAGAGCCACATATATTCCACAAAGCCCCAATGATATGAAACATTCAAGGAGGAAAAATGCATGAAGAAACAAAGCAATCTAATAACTGCCAGGGGTTATTGGGTCATGTGGGCTTTAGCACAAGGTTAGTTGTTCGAACCAAACAGCCACTCCTTGGGAGAAGGAGGAGGCTTTCTGCACCGATAAGGATATGCAGTTTCAGGAACCTAAAGGGAAAATTCTCCTCTATCCTTTAATTCCTTATTGATTCCGAAGCACTGACCTTAATTTGGGAGTTGGAGGGCAGAGAAGGACCCCTGGTGGCACTGAGGGGGTTGGGACAGCTAATCACAAGGCTAGGGGTTCAAGCCCACCAGCCACTCTGGGAGAGAAAAGGTGAGGCTAGGCTATTCTTATCAATGATTGTTAAGAGGAAGAACTAACCTAATGGCAGTGGGTTATATGGGGGAGAGAAAAAGTGGTACCTGCTAAAAGGACATGGGCTTTTTTTCGAGGGCAATGAAAATGTTCTAGAATGAGGTGATGCGAATCAGCTAAAAACAAAAGAATTACACACTTCAAAAGAGCTAAAGTAGCAAATTCTGTGCTATGTGAATTTAACTTCAATACCAAGAAAGAAACAAGGAACAAATGAAAGAAAGAAAAACACATCAATTAAGTAGATAGATACAATATTCTGGTATCCTTTCCACACACCTATGAACAAGACAGCATAGAATTTCTGGAAGCCTGATTTCTACATTTTATCAGACTGTATTGGCATGATTTTTAAACTGCATGCCTTATGTTTACATTTATTTAGGGACCAGCAACATCTACTTTGAGAGCTCCTTCCCATTAATTTGTATGACCCTCCAATGGCTCACTAACCACACTGAGATAATGTCTGAGATGCAGGTACCCTCTAAAGCTTTTCTTTCCTGGGTTCAAGGGAGGTAACTCAGAAGCCTGCAGCTTAATCCTGTCCAGTTCCCAACACAGGCTCTTATTTGTGGATTCTTACACTCTTTATCAGCGCCTTGCTAAGTTAGGCCATGCCCACAGCATCGTTGACTACTAGTAGAGGCCCTGCCCAGTTCCCCATTACCCCACCACATATGGCTTTAGTCACTTCTCTACCACACCTAGTGCCTATAGCCAGGATTGAATCATGAGTGCTATACAATGCCCATTCGATTGGGTCGTGAATCACTAGCCAGTATATGCACATGTTGCTAGGAATGGAGAATAGAAAATTGATCTTATTGAAGTTTAAAACAAACAAGCAAAACCTTCCTACAAACTTGTCAGCTCTCAAAAATCCACTTTGGCCAAAGTGAAAGAAAACCAGAGAAAAGACTGGACAACCTAGTCACAGACGTATAGATGTATCAACTATATAATTTTATAAAGCACATAAAAAACTAAACCCACCACTGCTGAGTTATGATGCTGGAGAAGCCTATTGAAATACCATGGACTACTAATAGGAAAATAGATCTGTATTGGAAGAAGTAAGGCCAGAGAGCTCCTTATAGGCAAGGATGGCAAGACATACCTATTTGGACATGTTTTCAGGAGAGACCAGTCCATGGAGAAGGACTCGTGTTTCGTAAAGGTAGGGGAGCAGTGTGAAAAAGGAAAGCCCTGGACGAGATGGATTGACACAGTGGCTGCACCAATGGGCTCAGGCATGGGAGTAGTTGCAAGGATGGTGCAGGACCATGCAGTATTTCTATGGTGCATAGGGTGGCTAAGGGTTGGAGCCAACTCGATGTCACCTAAAAAGCAATGAGTCTATGCTGTCTCAGAGGGACTCTGTATACGGTCTCAGAAGCTGTCCAGCTTTATAAGAGCAGTTAGCCTATTCTTTCTCCCAAAGAGAGAACCCAAGGTGACCAAAAGTAAGGCCCTGGCATTGATTACCTCTGTTCTGCTGTCATTCTGAGTCTTGCTGCTTGTGTCTGCCCAAGAGTGATTAAGCTTCCTTGTCCTTAATTTCCCAGCAACTAACGGGGATGTATCAATAAGATCCTAACCCATTAGTGTTTTAAAAAGTAAAAAGTCATGTGTGGGGACTTCAAAAACTTCATGAAATAAGGAGATTAAAAGATAAAAATAAAATATAAAAACTGTACTCATCAATATGTTACATCAAGATAAAAAAACATTTTTACCTCTGTTTAAAATGAACTTGGAAGTTATTAAAGACTCCAAGTCCCCGTCAGTTTTACTTTGCCTTTGTTAGGAGCCGTGTCTCCTAATGATGCCAACGGGATGGCAAAGCCCCCGTTCCTAAGCGGAGAGAACCCCTTTGCTACCGTGAAGCTGTGCCCGATGGTGACCAATGACCGGTCTGCTCCCATCATCCGGTGAAAGGTGGCCGCTGGGCTCCCCCCATAAACTCTACCGCCCGCTGACTGGTGCACCTCACACATGCACTGACGCCAAGATGCTGGGACTGGTGTGGTGCCAAGTCGAGGCCCAGTCCTCACCGGCAGGTGGACACGTCTTCTCAACTTCACCTAGCAGGTCTACACATCTGTCTCCAAGAGGATGAAACGAATAGCAGCTTTAATTATTTGCACCTAGGTCCGTTCCCCCCTTAATCTTAAATATATTTACATATGTAAAAAAAAAAAAAAGAAACTCATTTTATTTATTTATTTCGTATGTGTGTTAATCTCTCTCTATATATATAGATAATGTATCTATTTATATATATATTTGGTCCCCTTGTAGCTGTCAATATAAAGGTACTTTTGTAAGTGATCATACCAGCTATTTAGTCCATCCCTAAAGAACTGAAGGTCCTGTGAATTCAATCATGCCAATACAATCTGATAAAATGTATAAACTGAAGAAAAACAGGTGTCCTTTAAAGAATTTTCAAGATTTGGAAACCAAAAGGTCAGAAGGAGCCAAAAGAGAATAGGAAAGTGAGTGGGAGCCCAATGGTGTCCCCTAAGGAAATTCTTGCAAAATTGCCCTTCTTGTGGCCAGAGGAATGAGCGAGGAGCCTTGTTGATGGAGGGACTGGTGAAGTTTTCCTGGGCGTTTTTCTGCTCAACGCTTGGCTAACGTCCTCAGAATACCCTCAATATAAGCAGAACGAAAAATTCATTGGCACTCCAGAGTGTCAACAAACAAAATACCTGGAGCATCCCCCGCCCTCCCAAAAAAAACTTGCTATGCCCTTTCCTACTAATTAGTCCACTTCCAGTTTTTAGCAGCCAATGTATTGAAATGTGCTTTACCTTTAGAATTGTACTCGTAAAGTCAGATTTCATCTCTGATCCAAATACTGCAGGATCTTCAATGTCGATGTCTCAAGGCAAACTCAGTTCTGGTCTGCAGCTCATCTGGTCGCATCAGCTTGCGCCCACACAGAGCAGAAAGCTTGGTCTACTTAAAACAGATGTGGACAGTTTTCAGCCGGCTCCATCTTCAACACTCACTGTCTCATACCTTTTAAAAAAATGAGTTGTCCGTTGTTAGACTGATAATTTCTCTTTGTATTAATTAAACTTTTTTAAAAGCATAAATTATTTTATCATTTTCCACACAAGCTTCACTATAAATTTGCTGTTTCTTTTTGCTTCAATTTTAGCAGTATGAACATTGGTTTGATAAAGGCTTTTCTCAAACTGGTATTTTATCCTTCTGTGGAGTCCAACAAGATCCTGTCCTGACATGGTAAAACCAGTTCGCACTGAACTTTAGTTAATGTGATAGATTTAACTGTTTATAGTAGAAAGCCGAGTCTCTCCGATGCAGTATGCTGGTGATTTTGAACTAGAGACCTTGCAGATCACAGCCCAATGCATAATCACTACACAAGGGTTCCCTGATAAAAATGAGTTAGAAAGGGTTTATTTTTGAAAAATTTATACATAGATTTTTCATAATACATTATTTTCTATGAGACTTCTGAAGTCTTCTCATGTTGGAAAAATCTCTGGCATGCTGTAACCATATTGGTGTGCTCTATCCCATGTCGCCTTACTTTCTTGGGCAAGTTCCTCACCCACATAAGACTGGTCTGTGAAATTGTGGCTATGATAAACTACAAACCAAATGTTTCCCAATGCCCACTGATGATACTATTGACATTTAACTTACATAACTAAAAACCCAACCATTTAATGTACACAATTCAATGGATTCAATATTGTCACAGGGAAAATATGTAATTTCTAGAAAATCTTTCATGGCCTGAAAAAGCAACTCTGTTTTCATCAGTAGACTTCTAGTGAACATCTGACAAACACTAACCTCCTTCTTGTTTCCAGTGATTTGTGTGTAATGGGAATTTTGTAAAGGAAATAATAAAATATGTATTTTTGTGTCTTAATTTTTTGACATCGCATGATAGTTTCAAAATTCATGTATTTTGGAATAGGAGTGATTACAACATTCATTTATTTCATATTAAACTGTACAAATAGACCATAACTTTAAAAATTCATTTTCATATTGTATACACCTACGTATTTTTTTTTCCATTTGGGGGCTACTTAGAAAATGCTAAGAGTCTTAGAACATACATTTTTATTTGAGCATATGTTTTCATTTCTCTTGATTATATTTCTAAATGTGGAATTGTTTTGAGCCAAAGAATTTCTATGATTAATCTCTAACTATCTGCCATATTGATTTCCAAAGTAGTTCAATGATTAAGCATCCCACTGACAAATGTGTGATTGTTCTAATTCCTCCCTATTCTCACCAGCGCTTGCTATTGTCTGTCATTTTCATTATCCCTGTCCATCGTGTGCCTAAGAAATTGTATCTCACTGCAATTTAAATTTACATTCCCCTGATAAGTCAAGGCACTGATTTTTCTTCATGAGATGACTGGACACACTAATATACATTATCTGGTGGAAAGTGTGCAAACTCTTTCTCTCACTAAAAATTCTTACATATGAATCCTCTGCGTTGTAGTTATCTTTATGCATCACTCACCCAATTCACTTATTAGGTTTTATTTATAATTCTTTCATGAATTTTTGATGAAAGTTGACATTGTGTGCCCTCTCAGAGCTGTGTGTCAGTGCTTCAGAAACGCTGGACAGGTAGACAGCAAAACGTGTTCAAATCATTATTTTTTAATTCACTTTCCTGAGCAACATAAAACCTGATGAGAAGAAAATATTAGAAAGTTCGCATATGCACAATAAAAAAATCAGCATAGCAAAAACCTCTTCACTATTTTTTTAATACTTTTATTGGGGGCTCCTACATCTCCAATCATAATCCATACATTCCTCCATTGTGTCAATCGCATCTACACACACACTGCCATCATCATTTTCAAAGCATTCTCTTCCCACTGGAGGCCCTGATATCAGCTCGTCATTTCTTCCCCTCCCTCCCCATCCCACCCTCCCTCACAAACCCTTGACAAGTTACAGACCATCATTTTCATATCTTACATGGCCCTCTGTTGCCCATCACCCACCTTTCCATTGTTCATCCTCCTGGGAGGGGACCATAGGTTGACCCTAGTGATCGATTCCCCCTTTCTCCTCCCACCCTCCCCCAATCCTCCCGGCATCTCTACTCTCATTGTTGGCCCTGGTGGGGTCTATCTGTCCTGGACTCCCTGTGTTTCAGGCTCTTATCTGTAGCAGTGTGCATGTTCTGGTCGAATCCAATTTTTAAGGTAGAATGTAATGACAGTGGGGGGAGGGGAGAGGAAGTACCAAAGAAACACCACAAAGAAAGTTGGGTGTTTCATCAGTGCTATAATGTACCCTGATTGGCTCATCTACTCCCTGTGAACACTCTGTGAGAGGATGTCCTATTGTCGATCCACCTCATGCCCCCCTCATTCACATTGGGTATGATTTTGTTCTGGGTCTTAAATGCCTGATACCAGATCCCATTGACACCTCATGATCACATGGGCTGGTATGCTACTTCCTAGATGGCCAGTTGTTTACCTTCAAGCCTTTAAGACCCCAGATGCTATATCTTTTGATAACCTGGCACCATCAGCCTTTCCCACCATATTTGCCTATGAACCCATTTTGTCTTCAGTAATTTCTGGGCACAATAATTTAATAAATACATAGTTGTGAAACTATTACAATCATCCTCTTCCCTGTATTACCCCAAGTAGACACCAGACTCAAGAGTAGTCAGTCACTCCACAGACCCTTCTCTTTAAGGCTCCAGTGACCACATTGTTTTCTCTATGGATTTACTTCCTATAGACACTGCATAAAAGAAATGGAATCATACAGTATATAAGTCTAGATCTTTTCACTTAGCATGTTTGCAGTGCTCACGAGTGTTGTAGTACAAGGGAGTTTCAGAAAGTTCATGGGAAGATGGAATTAAAAGTCAATGGGGCCAACAATGCCTCTCCTGATGGCAGAATCAAGAGAGAGAGTCCCCAGAATCCTCATGAGACTGCATAGAGAGATCATCAGGTTGGGACTTGATTGGCAGGCTAGACTGCACCCTTTCGTTCTTTTATCAAGTTGCCATGAAATCATGTGCGCTCCACATTGTTAGTTGTAGTAGGGATTTTTTTTCTGTATAAGAAATCCAGGATAGGTAAATCTATAGAGACAGTAATTGGATTAATGGTTCATTGAGGGCATGGCAGGGAAGGCTAAAGGGAAATGGAGAGCTAATCAGGATGAGTACAAGCAAGAAGAAATGTTCTAAAATTGAGTGTGGTGATGATTGTGTGACTCTTCTTGATGTGGTTTAACTATTAAATTGTATAGTATGTGATTATATGCTAATAAAACTTTTTAAAGTTTTTAGTAAAAAGAGTCAATGTTTTTTTTTCCCATAAACAATCTGAAATTCCCTCATATGTTTCTATCAATAGAGTATCTTTTAGTTTTCTAATCATTACTTCCTAAATATGTGAATTTTTCCACGTTGGGGCAACTATGAAAACTGCTGCTATGAGCATTGGCATATTCATTTTTAGTGAAGCTATGTGCTCATTTCTCTTGGTATAGGCCTAGCTTTGGAACTGCACCAGAAATGTGTGCTATTTCTACTTTCCACTCATCCTCACCAACCACCTGTTAACATTTGTAAATTTTTATCATAGCTGACAATTACTGTGAAATAATGGTATCACATTAGATTTTGCATTAATATTTCCCTGAATACTAAGGATAATTCTTTCTTGGTGATTGGCTATTGGTATATTTGTCTATTCACGTCCATTTCCATTTATAATTAGCTTGTATTGGTTTTTTTTAGTTAAAAAATCTTTATATATTATGCATGTTTGTATTTTAAGAGGTACAAAGATTGTCATGAATTTCCCCCATAGTAAGAAATGCAAGGAAATCTTGGTTTAAGCTGAAATTTTTCTGTTCTTTGTACTAATATTTCTTTCA